ATAAATATAAATGTTAGAGATCTATTTTATATATTATATATATAATACTTATCTATAAAAGAATAAATAAAATTAGATAAGGAGTTGGGCCCTTTTAAAGTCTCCTGATTTCTTAAAACACTGAAGCTAGTTGTTCTAGCTCCAACATACTGCATGGTAACTTCTAAGTTCTTTTTCAGACTTAGTAAATCAACAGAAAACTAGTGAGGAGTATATGTTTTCTATATTTTCCTTAAAAGGTAGAGTGCAGTACAGGTTTATCATTTTTTGTAGCTGTATGACCTCTTTTCCTGCAACAGTGGAATAAAACCCTCACAAACTGAATTACTGTATTGTGAACCTCATTTCACATTTTAAACCGTAGGTTCACATTACTCCAGACACTACGTGCATGTCTGAAGTAGAGCGAGTGTGTTCCATTCACTGTAATGCATCTTGCACATTGAAATACATTAAGGAAAAATATGAGTCTGACTCCAGCATTTCTTTGCACTCAGCATTAGGTGCAACTGCTACACGTAACTGGAAGAAAAAAGCCAGCTAAACAGAGGAGCAGCGTGAGGGCAAACGACCAGCTGATGGCTGTGAGAGTGGAGAACGGGGCAGACTGCAAACACCCATGGTGGCAACAACCCGCAGCCAGGCACTGAGTAAATCTGAATGGGCTGATGCAGAACTGGGTATTCACGACCCCAGCTGGGGGTAAGCTACCTCAGCTGACAGGGAAGTCAAAATCCACAGACTTTCCAGACAGAAAACTAGTGTGGGGCCACCAGTAGCCCCACTACAGCCTACAGCAGGGCAGGTGATGCAGCTCTCTTTAGAGCTCCTCCCTGTCAAATTTCAACACTCAGTTATGTGCAGCAATAGGCAAGGTACGCATCTTCATTTCTACCGGAATTGTATTTTTGTTCATCATAGCAACTGTCAAGTGATTTGACTAATTGGCTTTACCTTTTAAATATGAAATAAGAACTGTTAGGAGGGGAAAAAAAGAAATCCAATAGAGAAAAGTTCAAAGTTTAACCAACCAGGAAAAAAACTGTTAAACTGCAGAAGAAAAAGAAGAATTAGAGGAAGATCAAAACCTCTTAGATGCAGTATAATTGGGTACAGGTATTGAAGCTTATCAATCAATACTGAGCACAGCAAAAGGAATAAACTAGCAAGGTAGACCATTTCTACCTCTCTAGTATCTACCTGCTGTGCAATATTTACTGGCCATTTTCAGTAACAAGGTTATTTTCAAGCATACCTGTTCAAGAAGTTCCTTATATGTTATTTTCTCTTTGGTATTTGTTACAGGACTGTCATAAATAATGGCAATTTGGTCTCCTCTTCCATTCTCAACATGACGATCTACAGCATTGTAACAGATATTCAGCTCTCCGCCTACAAACCTAAAAAAGAAGTTAAAAGTACATAACAGCCAGCCTTCCAAACTAAGACAACTATTTTTTTGCATTTTTTTTAAGGAATGAGAGCACTCAATTAAAATATAGCTCCTAAAACATTATACTCAGTTCAGGAAGTCATTTTTTAATCTGTAACCTCACAATTTACTCAAAAAGCTAAATAAGCCTATTAGGGAAAATAGTTGAAGTACCGTACCTTAATTGACTTAACTAAGAATCTCCTAAACGTGGTCTTGATTAACTTACTTTGCAGCAATCATTCTGATTTTTATAGCTAAGGTTTCACAGAAAAAGCATACATTCACATAAAATAATCTGACATTATCAAAACGTGTTATTACACTACTTTGTATTGGCATGCACACATATCTTTTTTAGGAAGAACAGGTTCAGGACTCAAAATATTCTTATTCATCTCTTGACAATAATAGTTATGCATACAAGCATCTCTATCTAAATGAAACTGACCCCGACAGTTATAAAATCTTATAAATTTGTCTGACATTCATAATGCATTTGACATTACTGTGTTTTACATCAGTGACTCAAAATCCCCTGTAAAGCGATGTGATTCATAGCCTCTTCAACAGCCAGACATTTACAGAAAACTCTCATCTTCTAATTAAAGAACACTTCACAAACTCAGGTTTCATTTTTATTGTCATTTTACACAGAAAAAGAAAATTCAAATGCAGCATAACCCTCAAGTCAGAAAATACAGAAGACACCAGATACAAAGATGACTCTACTAACTGAAAGATGACACAGAATCTAAAAATTAACGTTCAGTCTAAATAATGCTCTTTGTGTTTGTTTTTCTATCTGCACGTATCTCTCTACAGCAAAAAGAAGAGCAACACACAAAAAACCCACACTTGAGAGTTTCCAAAAAGTTCTATGGGGACACTCACTGTGATAATGTGATATTGTTACAATGTAACTAGAAATAAAAACAGATGGCCTAAAGTAACCACTACTAGTTAAAAGAGTATTTCCTTCTTCACCTTTCCTGTCTAGTAAAGGACTGCTCTAAATTAGGATATTTGATATATTATTCATAAATCCATATGCACAGATGCCATAGGATAGTCTTTATTGTCAAAGAATGGCAATTATTAAACCAAAAGCAGTTATGATGTTTAGGATGCGGCAATCTTCTATTGTGACTCCTTTACAATGCTATTAATAAGGAGAAAGTAGGGGACCAGGAAAGTAACAAACACATTCTGTACTACAAACCCCTTCCCATAAAAGAAGAACTGTATTAACAATAAAGGATTGGGAGTTGTTTCATGTAATATGAAGAAACTCTGTATTACTGTCATAAAAGTTGTGTAGGATTCAGGTCATCCATTGATTTTTACATCAAATCACTGTAGGATGATATGAACAAGGGAACAAGAGAGCGCAGTACCTGAGCTACTATGCATAGCCACTTAAGAACAGTCAAAACATGAGCAAGTACCAGAGCTTGGATTCTTCTAAAGATACATGGCAACACCAACACTGCCACATAAATTTTTAACAATCGCTTGCGAACAAGTATGTGAAAAAGATGTGACTGCAAGTTGAAACAAAAAACAAGACTATCTGGACAGTGTGATGAGAGCTTTACTACCCCGTTCAGAAAGAGGGAGGCTCTTACAGGATCAGAGAAGCAGAGATGCACCTACCATGACCACAATTGCAAGACTTTCACTTCTCTACTGTCACCCAAGGACATGCTCAAATACCTCATTCTGGCTGACAGATAAAAAGCTGCCTGGCTTTGAAAAGCTGCCCTGTGCTCCTGCAAACGTCTGTTGATTCAACGATTCCCAAGGAGATGAATACCCGTGAGGAACTTTGATTTGCTTGAGGAAGCTTTAGTTGGAAAGAAACAGCAGCATGAAACCAGGACCCAGTCTTGGAATAAGGACCTCAATGAGACGCTCCTATTTAAAACAGAGTTCTAGAATCAAAAAGAAAATATTCCAATAGACTGCAGAAAGATCAGAGGTGCATCTGCAGGATGTTTGTAAAAAGCTGCCAGTAAATCTTGCCATAATAAGTAGGACTGTAAAATGCTAATCTGTTGCTAACCAGACAATTATCTCAGTGCAGCTTACCAAAGGAATCCAAGCCTGAAGAACCTTTTCTTAGGCTGTGTTCCTAATGCTGAGAAATTAGTAACATTCAACAAACAGAGCAGAGGAAAAGTAAAACAAATAAAAAGAGTCAATAGTAACAACTCTAATACATAAAAGAAACTGGATTCAGTTCACTAGCAGTCTCTTTGAAGAGCTCCTCTACCATCCACTGATGCTATGGCGGAAAAAAATGACAGGGTTCTTCCTGTCAAAAATCACAGCAGAATTTAAAACTGGTTATAGTATCAAAACAGATTCCTTCACAGCAACATTTTAAACCAATATTCTGACAATATCTACCTATCTTTTTGATAAGTCTCTTTTCCCATACATCCATGAAAGCAGCAGCCTTTGATAATCCACATTATGCATAACTTAGATCTAATACGGCATCTTTTTAATAATTTGAGTGTGGTTACCCACATTAGGACCCCCTTGAGCCTCTTTAAAGCTGCCTATAGCAGTCACCTAGGAATTACTGCCTCTTCGTGACCGGGGCTCAGCACCTCCTGTCTCACCCCAGCCCTGAGGTCTCAGAGAGTTTCTGTTGTTTCACAAACAGGAATCTCAAGCACATGCACTTACCTCTTTAATCATACTTTAAAATGACTACTCTATCAACCTTTTAGGACTAGGAGTAGAAGATGGCACGAAAGCGCTCATCTTCTGTTCATGTTTTACTCTTGACAAGTCAGTTAGGTCTTCCATAGCGGAACTCCCGTTCCATGCAGCTTAACATCTACCATCTACGGCCTGGAAATTTTTTTTACTGCATTCAGCATTTTCTTGGATGTGACAACAGCCTACTTGCTAGTAATGTAATAACTATAGTAGTGAAGAAGGCAACAAATAATTATGTCTTAATTCACTTCACTCAAATATTCAAAACTTATGCTTTAATTTCCAGCACTATCTGCTATCTTAAGAACCAAAGTAGCTGTATTCAGAGGAACTTTTTAGTCTTCATTCAATGGCTCGGAAGGCAAGTTAGTTAAGAATAAAAAAAGAAAGAAGGTAAAGGTTCTGAATAAAGCTGGCATGCATATATGCAAACGAAAAAACTACATTAAAATTATTTTGCATCATAACTGTAAAAAAGGCATATTGCTAAAATCCTTTTATGCCATGCAGGGTACATATACTTCTCCTAGCCAGGTTCCCAGGAATCAAGTGGATATTTTTTTTTTAATTTTTCTAGACAAAGTGAGAACAGAAGCTGAATAAAGTGTTAGACAAAACCACAACAATATTAGATATTTTGAGATAATTATGTTAATTGATCCAGCCACATTTTTAAAAAGTGTAAGCAACATTTGAATAGCAATCTGTGCAACGTTCCTAAAGTTCGAAAGTGATTTTATATTGCGCTTATGTCTTCGAACCAGAGAAAAAACGTAACTTGCAAAATTGCCCTCTGCCTGCATGCGTTAGGAAAAACTGTTCCTATCATTCCTAAAGAAGTACTTGCTTAACCTTTCTAACTGGGATCCCACAACATCCCAAAATAATCTGTTCAAGTGTTTCACTACTTTTAGCATTAAAAAGATTTTTGTTTCTAACATTTAAAATCTGCGTCTCCCTTGTTGCAATTTAAGACTTCTAGTTTTGACCTCTTCAAAGCCAACTCAGAGAAGTTTTTCCTTCAGCTTTGTAGCCAAATTCTCTGTAGCCAAATTTTACATGTTTTAAAACTTACATCTCCTTTTTGACTTCTACACCAAACAATTCCAATTTCTTCATCCTTTTCTTGACCAATCATACTTTTTTGCTCTTCTCCTTAGTTTTGATGTGAGCAAAAACAGATGACGTTTTGCACCGTACCAGCCACTGATGAAGGTTAGAACAGTCAATGGTACCTGGGATTACTGCTTCAACAAAACAGCCAGGGGATGGTGACACTGATCACATACCTTTTGGAAATCATTTTGCATCCCACTGACATAATACTGGTATTTCCAATGGCAGAGACTAAAGAAAATGCACTAGGGCATGCTGCACATTTCTTTCATGCTCTTACAGTATTTAGAGAGGATGAATTGGCATTTGGCTTATAGCTACATTTTAAATATGTTAACTGCCTCCTTCACTTCTTCAAGCGAAATAAATGAGACTGGAAAATATATGAAGAGTATCTGTTTCCGTAAGTCTCAGGTTTGGCAACCAAAAACAAAGATACTGAAAAAAATGGGTATTTCTTAATTGACCTAATAATATGTCTCTGAAACAGGAGACAAATTCTAACTCAAGAAGCACATACATGAACTTCTTAATACTATTTTTAAGGTCTACATAAACTGCTTCCTAGGTAAACCTCAGAACCAGAGGTTCATCTTTACCCTGTTAGACCAGCAAGCTATGTTTTTCTCGGAAGCCTTGCCTCTTCCTCAGTTATGTTCTGTCCTCTTTGTTTTCTCTTCAGCGTGTCCTCTGAAAGAGCCTCTTGTATCCTCTCTCTCTCTTATATTCCAGTCTTTTCCTCAAAGAACTTATCTATCTGTTGTCCTGCTGAGCACACTGAATGCTGTAACCATCTGGGACTTCAGAGGCATTACAGTACTACACTAGTATCACATACAGCCTGTTATCACTTAAGGTGAACTTAAATTAAAAAAAAAATAAAATTGCATGTTGCACATTAAGACATTAAAGAGGATTACACAAATTGCTTAATGTTTTATTATCCACAACAGAGCAACAGTTACCTGACATCCAAACAATAATTAGGGCCTGATCTTGAGTCTTCAGAGACTTGCATCTTTGTATAA